GGGGCGGGCCCCAGCCATTTAAATTTAAATGAAGCCGCGATTATTTTAATCGCGGCTTCATTTCCCTTTTCCGATCTGGCTAATCTACATGCCTCCGTCGAAGGAGGCATGTAGTCTAGACACACCCCAAGTGTTTATTATAGTTTTGTGAATCTTCTTGCAGTACATTCATTTGTTTACATTTCTTCCTGTTTCCAGGAAGAAGAATTTGTCATAAAAGTAGGTTTTTAATAGGAATTCAGATGACTCACATTAATCATTTGTATTATAAAATTACATATTACAGAGGTGATTGGTACTGATTCATATATCACTGGAATTATTTTTAGTTTCCTCTTCTTGATTTGATTAACCTTTATATGGATCAATTTTTCAAGCAGCTTCCACAGTTTAGTTGCATCCACTTGCAAGCTTAAATCATGTGTGTTCACATGTAAATAATATGTGTGTGTGTGTGTGAGAGAGAGAGAGAGAGAGAGAGAGATGATGATGTTGCAATAAGATTTTTCAGATGCTGACTGAAAACCTCATCCTAAATATCTACTTTTTCTGAGAAAATACCATTATCAATAATTCCAGTACTGTGAAACTCTGAGTAGAATTACATCTGTGCAATTATTTTTAAGGTGCAGTTTTTAAATGAGATGTACCTGATGAACGAGTTCATGGGCAATCACAGCTGCTACTCTCTGTTTGTTGGAGGAAGCAGATTCTTTGGGATCGTAAAGTAGGTTTGTTTCTCTGTAAGTGATCAGACCCCAGTTTTCCATAGCACCAGTACCAAAATCTGGAATAGCAATTTTATCTATGTGGAAAGAAAGAGAGCATGGTCAACATTGTAGTCACTGAAATTCTTACACAATGATTCCCTTTTATGTAGGAAGAGAGCCCTCTGATTATTCAAAACATATGATAATAGCTTGTTTTGTTGTTTGTCATTTGACAGTCTTCTATATTACATACTGCAATGAGAGAGTGTACTCTCAAAGCCCTCTTTCTATCTGTATGATACTCAGTAACACCGTGGGACAGACTCACAACTGAATGCAAATTGTCATAGCTCCAGCAACTTTAATGTAGCTCTGACAATTTATACTAGTCAAAGATCTGTTGCCAGACAGTGTTGTGCAACCTTATGGAAATACAAATGTAATCTAACACCACAGCTTCGATCCAGAAATTAATTGTATTTTCTAGGGATAAGTTAGGCAATAAAGCATCTGAAACTGTCTGTTGCATAATGAGGCATGTCATTGTCACTCTCTTGAATAACAAATATGTATTGACTTAATAACTGAAGTAAATTCCCCATGTTATGAACAATTGCTTCTTCTCACTGCAATCTGTGGAGTCACTTCTTCACGTTCCATGATCAATACAATTGTGGACTCAATTGGCCTTGCATTCTGTGAGGATTGACAGCAGCCTTTCCAAGAGGATAAGGGTAAAATGCATCAAATGGGTTCAAAATTAGACAAAAAGCCTTTACACCCATCTCTAATTGCAAATTGCATGTGGAATTACCAATGTCTGTTTATTATACTCAGCTCAGTCACTGGTCATAGCTGTCAACCTGGCAAGGTCTATGGGACACATTATACAGTCTGTCAAAGATCCAAAAATGAGGGAAACATGAAAAATATTGATGTGATAGTACATTAGTTTAGTTAAATTATTATTTTGTTAAACCCCTCTTTAATTCACCATGTCTGATATAATCAATTTATAATAATGAAGGGACACTATCATGAAATGCATCCTAGAATACTCAGGGAGCTGATAGAGAAGGTACTGAGTCTTTAGCTATAATCTTTGAAAAGTCGTGGAAGAAGGAAGAGATTCCAGAAGACTGGAAAAGGGCAAGTCTAGTGCCCATCTATAAAATGGGAAAGAAGCACAATCCAGGAAACTACAGACCAGTCAGTTTAACTTATGTGCCAGGGAAGATAATGGAGCAAGTAATTAAGGAATTAATCTACAAACTTCTGGAAGAAAATAAAGTGATAGGTAACGGCCAGCATGGATTTGTAAAGAATAATCATGTCAAATCAATCTGATAGCTTTCTTTGATAGGATAACAAGTCTTGTGGATAAGGGAGAAGCAGTGGATGTGGTACACTTAGACTTTAGTAAGGAATTTAACACTGTCTTGCATGATCTTCTTATCAATAAACGAGGCAAATACAACTTAGATGGGCCTACTATAAGGTGGGTGCATAACTGTCTGGATAACAATTCTCAGAGAGTAGTTAGTAATTAACTGTTTACAATCCTGTTAGAAGGACATAACAAGTGGAGTTCCGCAGGGGTCTGTTTTGGGACCGGTTCTGTTCAATATCTTCTTCAATGATTTAGATGATGGCATGGAGAGTATAATTATTAAGTTTTCAGTTGAAACCATGCTGGGAGGGGTTGCAAGTACTTTGGAGGATAGGGTCAAAATTCAAAATGATCTGAGAAATGGTCTGAGGCAAACATGATGAAGTTTAATAAGGACAAATGCAAAGTACTCCACTTAAGAAGGAACAATCAGTTTCACACATACAGAATGGGAAGTGATGAGGAGTCCTATGGCACCATGCAGAATGGGAAGTGACTGTCTAGGAAGGAGTACTCTTGAAAGGGATTTAGGGGTCATAGTGGATGACAAGTTAAACATGAGTCAACAGTGTGACACTGTTGCAAAAAAAGTAAACATGATTCTGGGATGCATTAATAGAAGTGTTGTGAGCAAGACATTAGAAGTCATTCTTCCGCTCTACTCTGTGTTCATTTGGAGTATTGCATCCAGTTCTGGGCACCACATTTCAGTAAATACGTGGAGAATTTGGAGAAGGTCCAAAGAAGAGCAACAAAAATGATTAAAGGTCTAGAAAACAAGAGCTGTGATGGAAGACTGAAAGAACTGGGCTTGTTTATTTTAGAAAAGAGAAGACTAAGAGGGGACCTAATAGCAGTTACCAGTACCTAAAAGGGTGTTAGAAGGAGGAAGGAGAAAAATTGTTGTTCTTGCCCTCTGAGGATAGGACAAGAAGCAAAAGAGGTTTAGGTTGGACATCAGGAAAAACTTCCTGCCTGTCAGGGTGGTTAAACACTGGAATATATTGCCTTGGGAGAGTTGCAGAATCTCCATCACTGGAGATATTTAAGAGCAGGTCAGACAGACACCTGTCAGGGATGATCTAGACAATACTTGATCCTACCATGAGGGCAGGGGACTTGACTCGATGACTTCTTGAGGTTCCTTCCAGTTCTAGTGTTCTATGACTCTATGATTCTATAAAGCTATGAAAGAAAGATGGATTACTGGTTTTGAGAGGGGAGATGTGTTCTTCTGGGTTCAAAGAAGTAGGAGACAAACAACATAAAATCTTTAAGATGGTCTGTGTTACAATCAGGGGAAGAGTTCTATTCTACAATGTTAGATGTAACCTTAACAGTGTCCTTTAACTGGGCATCAGACATGTTATAGAAACGTGAGCTTGGTTATAGGTAGCTAAGAGCTAGTCTAAATGGATCCACAAAGTGGAGTCCGCTTGTAACCAGGTAAAGGGACAACTATGTTATAGCTAGGTCTCCTAACTTAATTGTAACCTGTAATATACATGGAAATTTATAGTGATTCAAATGATATCAAGGGGAGAGGAAAAGAGGAAGTTTAAAAACTTTCAGAGAATTTAGCATGTCAGTGGTTTGACATGGGTAATCCATTAGACAGCGCATAACATGATTTAAAAAATACTCTGGCTGCCTTAACATTTTGGGTTTTGTTTTAATTTTCCATCCTTATAAGCTAAGTTTGTGTACCTTGCTACTATGCCTTTGGATTTTATAGCATGGGCTGTTTCTGTAGTTTTTCCACAGCATTACTTATATCCCTAATTAATTCAATTTTCATATATCAGATCCAGATTTCAAAGGTCCAAATTTAGGGATGCTCAGAGCCAATGTTTTGCTTTAGGACCTTAAAATACAGGGGCTACAGGCAAAATTTGGTTCGGTATCAAGGTTGGTTTGGTTTGGTTTGGTTTGGATCTGTTGAAGAGATTCATCCCATCTATAAAAAATCAATTATAGTCATGGGTCCCTGGTAGAAATAGGTGTACACAAATTGGAACAAGTCACATGACTTGAATCATTTATGTCACCAGTTACTGTTGTTGACAAGCCTCCCTGGAGTGGAACCCATCTATCTCAAGCTGCATTTTGCTGTGTTTAGGCCGTATTGTTTCTGTGTTGAACTAACATTTCCCATTTTTTAAAACTGGACACTCTAAAATAGCAGTGTTAGTGCCAGTGTTTCAATTCAGCTGCCAAAACGAAGGGAGGAGAATATCCCAACTGGGTCTGAGCCTCCGCTCATGACATAATAGGGCATCTTGAACTATAAAGTCTTAATCTAAGTGGATTCTGGCGTTAGCAGCACAAATTCTTTATTCTCACTCTCCCATGAAATAACAGTGAAGCAGAAAACAAAACTGTGATAGTAAATGAAGAGCATGAAGAATATAAATGGTTGTAATCACCTAATTTTGGAAGAGAATAGCTCATATTGAAATACTCTTCAAAGTAGTCAAATACAGCTTTAGTAACATTTGCAGCATATTCTGCTGTGTGTATTTGCTGTGGCTGTGCATAGATCCTGAGCTGCAAATAAAGTAGAGAAATACAGTTAGAGTAGATACCAGCTGGTCAAAACAAATCAACATGTGTTTAGTACTGAAGCATCATTGCTAAGGAGAAGGATAATGTGGTTGACTTTTCTTCTCTGAAAGATTAAACCTAACACTGAGATGCTTGTCTACACCACTTTATGGAAGAGGTTTCTGAAATGTAAACTTTTATATATAGATATACAGAGATCAAATCCATGTGTAACCTCCCACAAATCTGTGCGTTATTCATCCATAGAAACATTATGAGATTATTTTATTCATTCCTCTCAGGACCAAGCGCACTCGTTCCCTCATCTCCTGATTTTGCCCAATTGTAGATTACTAGCTCTTTGGATGGGAACACTGTCTTACTTGTTTTGTAAGGCAGCATTCACAGCTGTGGAGTTATATAAGTAAAAAGTAACAATAAGAGACAAACCTAACATATTTTGCTGTCTGTTCACTGCTTCCACTAAATTCTGTCTGGATTGTGGACCATGATTTTCATGATTAGGATTTCACCTCCGAGCTTAATTTTTAGTGATTAGTGTAAGCCACCACATGAAATTTGAATAGATTTATAAAATGTATTTGTTACTACTTGAAAGTTCAGCTGTACTTTTCAGTTTTTTGGAAGAATAGCTTTCACAAATGAATACTTTTGCAGCTGTTACAGATAAACATCCTTTAGGTAAGAACAGGTATACGTGTGTAACCCATACCTGCTAAGTGTGGTGCTGCATCCCCCATTCCAGTGTCACCTAGACCACCTACAGATTAATGAGTTTGCTACTGTCATCACATGACTTTTAGCCCCTGTAATAAGCCTTTAGAGGTCCCAGGTTTGATTCTGCCTGCCAATGATCAGCGTTTGTTGGTGTTACACGTGCTCTCCGAAGACTAGCACATTAGACAGTATGAGTGTGTCTAGACTACAGGTTTTGCGTCTACACTACTGCCAAGTTCTGTCGACAGTAAGTTGACAGAACGCGGCAGTTTTGTCGATGGCGGTAAACCTCATTCTACGAGGAATAACATCTTTTTTCAACAGAGTTATTTCGAAAAAGGCGTTATTGCATCCACACTGTGCTTTTTCCAAAGAGAGCGTCTAGACCCTTTGTCGGAAAAGTGGCTTGCTTTGTCGACAGAACTGGCTGTAGTCTACACACTCTTTTTCAACAGAGGCTTTCTCAACAGTATCTGTTGACAAAGCCTTTGTCGACAAAAGCCTGTAGTCTAGACGTACCCTAAGTGCTGAAACCTGCTATCAACAAAAAAGGCCAACTTAGTGTCTAAGTGAGAAAAACAGCTGGAAAAAAGGATTTTTTCCTCTAGCTTTTTGCTATGGTAGGTTTCCCTGGTAACAAGACAGGTACACAATTGTATTCCACAAGTCTCTGCTACAGAAGTGTACTGTGTAGAGAAGAAGAGGCAGGAACATCTTTCCCACACAGACCTACTAGTGCATGCTTGCAATCCAGCGCTACATGGTATTGGATGAAGTACATTGTGGTCAAATGGTTACACGTTTGGAGCTAGCAGAGACAGACTGACAGTCTGACAAATGCTGAGGGAACAGATGGACATACAGTCCATCTCTCTGATGTGTTGTGGTAGTTTCATTGTTCTGGCAACAAAAGCTTTGCACTTGGGGGGTGAAGAGAGCACAGAACACTTAAGGGGACAGGACATCTCACAATTGTTGGTCTCTGTATATGTCTGTGGAGATATAGTGTTCCTTTTTGAAGCAATAGTAAAGTGTGCTCTACCATATGTTTTCTTCACTTTCCTCTCCAACTCTGGCTATGCTTGGTTCTCCTGTCCTGCACTAGCAGGACAGTTTCTCAACTTTTCATGCTTTGGGTAAGTGTAGGAAACTGCTTTTAGTAGAAGGGTTGCAGACTAAATTCTGATTGTCATTGTAAATATTATTTAAAAAAATAGACTGTCAGTGTAGTAAGGTAGGCATTGACATGTGTGATAGCTGCTAAGCTATCTGCAAAGTATCATGCTTAGATCTTGCCTTGTGAGAATGATATTTTTATAGTAAAATTCCAATGCTGGTATGATGAAGATATGCTCATGGCTTTTATGAGGCAATGTGAGTGTTCTGTGATATTTCTTACTTGGATTTGTTTATTATAACCTACAAACTATAAGCTAGTCATCACTCATCTTAACTGGGAAGTATGTTTGGGTATTAAGAAGTACGCATTGTGTACTGAGTGCACAGTTTAGATCTATCATATTTTTTAATGAAGAGGAGAAAAGTGACATGTCAAGTGTTGATCTCTCATGCCCCCACTCTGCTGCTGCCATGTGGAAATTAATTTTGTTTTACTATTTAGCAATGAACTGTTCTCCAGGTGTAAGGGGCCAAGGATCTTTTCCTGCAAAGATGCATGCTTAGAGCTGGATGGTCATTTTGTGGCAAAACAGTTTTCTTCAGAAAATACTGATTTGTCAAAATCTAAACTTTTTTGAGGAAAGTATCTGTGTTGACAAAGCTTTTATCTGGAAGGTTTCTCGCATCCAGGATGGAATTTATGGTCAAAACTAGCAGAGAAAGAACTCAAAATAGCCAGTAACCCACTGGTGAGGGCACTTACCTGGGATGTGACACTGTAACTTTGCTGCCTTTAATGTTTCCCTTTGAATCAACAAATATCAGTCCCTAATTCATTGCCTAGAAGAGTGTGGTAGCTGACTGTTGAATGGTTGGGCTTTATGTATACCAAGTAATGTGTGTGTTTGCTGCATTCCATTTCTTTTTCCCTAAATAAATTCTGCGAAAGACCCTTGCATATTCTGACTCTGAGAGCTACTCTTGCTCTAAAGGTTTGGAGACCCTTTGCTGATTATCACAGCTTGTGAATGAGATTTGCAACTAAACAAATGTGAGGTTTTTAAAAAAAATCAAGGATACTGCATCACTTCACAAAACATACTCTGGTCATGTATTTAGACAAATGTGGTGCAGGTCTAATTTTTTCTGATCCAACACTGCATATGTAAAGGTGTACAAACAGAAAGTTTTAGAGCAAGGAACAGGGGCACCATTTCAGATTTTGGTGGTGGAGAGGGGGTGACCTGTGCATGCCATGATGCGGGGGGAAAAGAGAGTAAGAGCATGAGGGGAATTGACTGAGGATAGAGGCTTCAGCAGTGTTACTAAGTATTCCAAGTAAAAGCCAAGCATCAAATGGGGGGGGGGGGTGGTGACCCAATGCCATCTGCCCTCCCCCACACATACACATCAACTCTATCCAGGGATGACTAAGGCACTGGAAAGCTCTACTTTTTTGGCAAACAACTTAGCAGTTAGCTGACAGGAATACTGTATCTAATTGTGGCAAGTCACTTAAAGGACACTGGTTATCCTTAAAATTTTAATATATATTCTTACTTTGTTACTAGCTCTGTGGAGTCTCCCAGGACTCCTAGGCTCTGTCTCAGCTCTGGAAGAGGAATGGGTTCTAGTGGGTTACAGCAAAGGGGCGATACATTTCAGCTCTATACAAGAACATCAAAATGGCAATACTGTCTCTGACCAATGGTCCTTTTAGCCCTGTATCCTGTCTTCCAACAGTGGCCAAAGCCAGGTGCTTCTGAAGGAATAAACAGAAGAGGCAATCATCATGATCCATCCCCTGTCGCCTATTTTGTTTGTTTGAAATCTGCTGCTTAAACATTTAATTGGGTCAGCTTCTCCTGTTATGTTAGTGAAAGAATGAATAACATTTCCTTATTCTATTTTCCCACACCATTCATGATTTTCTAGACTTTTAACATATCTTCTAATCCTTTCGTCATTTCTTTTCCAAGCTGAAAAGTCCCAGTCTTGTTAATCTCTCCTCATATGAAAGCTATTCCTTAACCCCGAATCATTTCTGTTGCCCTTTCTGCATCTTTTCCAAATCCCATGCATCTTTTTTTAGATCAGGTGACCAGATCTGCATACAGTATTCAAGATATGGGCATACAATGACTGTACAGAGGCAATATAGTATTTTGTACGATTATCTATTCCTTTCCTAATGATTCCCAATATTCTGTTATCATTTTAGTTTTTAGACTGCCACTGCACATTGAACAGATGTTTTCAGGGAACTATCCACAAGATCCCTTTCTCGAATGGTAACAGTTATTTTAGATCCCATCATTTTTGCATCTGTAGTTAGGATTATATTTTCCCATGTGCATTATTTTACACTTATCAACACTGAATTCCATCTGTCCTTGTGTTGCTCAATTTCTCAATTTTGTGACATCCCTTTGTAGCTCTTTGTAGTCAGTTTTGGATTAGTCTATGTTCACCCCTTTTTCAAGAACATTTGTAAGTTTAACACAGTAGTCCAAATGAAGATCCCTGACGCATAACTCTTTTTCCTACTCTTCCCCCCCTCCATCTTTTAAGTGGAGTACCTTGCAATGTTTTCATGATGATCTAACAAACCTTCAATTACTGGAATGCCCAGTCTTTTGTAATTTGTAATCACTTTTCTGCCCTCTTTTTATAACAAACTCCCTGCCCCAAAGGCAAATCTGCAAGCAGCTCAAACTTTGTTGCATTTAAGAACTGCATCTGGAGTTAGGAGATGGGCTTTAAGCAGACCCAAGTATGAAATCCAGGGATTCAAACTCAGGGACGGGGTCTACTGTCCACCTAGCCCCCCATAAATGGTGCTCTCGGCAAGGAAACCTCAGCACGGCACTATGCCATTAGATGTTTGCTAATAAGGAGGGTAAAACCTCTGAAATTTTTGTTAAAAGCATCATATTTGCATGTCAGTCAACTCTATAGTGTGGGAAGGGATTGGTTTGCAAATGGGAAACCGAGGGAAAATATTGACTTGCGAAGGAACGTTATATAGTGAGTCAATAGCAGTGACTATAATCCAGAAATCTGGATTTCCAGTCATTAGGCAATATTTTATCTAGAACAGTAATAAACTACGCTGAGCAAATGGTTAAGACATCCTCACAGTGTAAGGATGCATCTACACTGCAGGGCTTAACTCAAAATAAGCAACGCAAATTGAGCTACGTCAATTGTGTAGCTTATTTTGAAATAGGGAACGTCTGCACAGCACTTATTTTGAAATAGAGCATTCTTCCTCCAACTTCCCGTATTCCTCATACAATGAGGGTTACAGGAGTCAGAGTAAGAAGTCCTCCAGCTTGACAGTATTTTGAAATAACTGCCTGTGGTGTAGACGCAGACTAAGGAATTGTGTTGTAGTGTAGACACACTGAGTGTGTACTCTGATTTTTAGAAGAAAAAATAAGGGAAATAGCAAGAGCACCACTTTGGAAGAATTTTTCTACCTCACATTGAAAAAGTTGGACAACTAACAGGTTGGCATTCAGCATTCCAGCTCAAGTACAAGCTCATTAAGATTTGGAGGCTACATCATGGCTGTGGTTTCAGGTAAGATTCAACTGTTGAACTGTTTCCACAAGATCTTAAAAAGTTAAAATCTCATGAGACTAGCTGTTCTTACAAAATTCTGGCTGAATCCAAACCATACTTGGAAAACAGACTCCTTACTCTTCTGGATACAATCTGAACTAAAATAATAGGAGAAGTTCAGATTCATGGATTCAAATCCAAACCTATTCAGTTCAGAGGACCTGAGGTTCCAGCCTTTCAGGGCAGGGACTGTGTCTTTTTAATGAGTCTGCATCATTCCTACTATAACTGCGCTGTATAGGCACTACCGTGATATAATTAATAATGGTACACTATGCATTTGTACACAACAATGCAGTGCTGAGACTCAGTTTTTCAGTGTAGTTGATTGCTAATGAGGTGCACACACACTCACAGCTTTTAAGGACAGAAGGGACTATTTGATCACTTATTTTGACTTCCTGCAGAACACAGGCCATAAGAATGGGAAGATTAAGCAATACAATATGAAAAGCTGATTTATGTTTTTTGAAACTCACATCTGGAACGCATTCAGAATCAGTTCAGAGGACCTGAGGTTCCAGCCTTTCAGGGCAGGGACTGTGTCTTTTTAATGAGTCTGCATCATTCCTACTATAACTGCGCTGTATAGGCACTACCGTGATATAATTAATAATGGTACACTATGCATTTGTACACAACAATGCAGTGCTGAGACTCAGTTTTTCAGTGTAGTTGATTGCTAATGAGGTGCACACACACTCACAGCTTTTAAGGACAGAAGGGACTATTTGATCACTTATTTTGACTTCCTGCAGAACACAGGCCATAAGAATGGGAAGATTAAGCAATACAATATGAAAAGTTGACATGTTTTTTGAAACTCACAGCTGGAATGTGTTCAGAATGAAAATTGGACTTACAGGAATTCCTCTGGCAGACTTTCTTTCTACCCAGTCAAACTGATGCACAGCAAAGCACACCAAATATGTGCTCATTGGGACAGACTTCTGAAAAGTTGTCCTGTTCCAGCCATCACCCAGTCGAACGGTTTGCTGAAGGAGAAAAAAAAAATCTTACTTTTTAAAACTGCAGACATGTGCATAAAAGAATACAATAGTTATATATATAAAGTAGAGCTATGGTCAGGATGAACTTCCACTCTGGCTTTACACAGGACATGAGATGGGAACATGCAAAGTGATTTTTTTCTTAAAGGTACCAGGCATATAATGAGACTTTGGTTTTATGCACTAAGAATAAGTTTTTTCATTTCTAGCTGTTTGTATTAAGAATTCAAACCATGCACTTCAGATGAGTTTTTCAATAAGCCTGAGTCCAGTTTAATGTGTTTTCTAACTAGTCTTCATGAAATGGCTTCTTAAAACCAAACTGTTGGGAAAATTAAATAGTGGGCCAAATTTTGCCCTCCTTTAAACCTGTGTAACTTTATTGAAGCTAGTGGGATATTATGGATGTAACTGAAGGAAGAATTTAGCCCATGGAATCCAATTTTTTTCAGTAGTAATTAGTCTATAAATCTTGATGCAAGGTTTGTTTAAACATTCTTGTATTCTTAGTGCTGGTCAGATTTTTGGTTTATTAATCCATTGCATGCCAGACTTGATTTTAGCAAATACACTTGATATCCTTAAATAGTTGCTGAATAGTGTGTACAAATTACTTCAACTATTTGTTACTCGTCATATAGTATATTTTCTGTTGCCTGATTGGATAACTCCACAAAAGTGAAAAAGCCAATGGCAAATAACATACTATATTTACAGTAGATATACAATACCACTTTCAGTTTTAAAAACTGAACACACCTATAATTTCAAAGAAACATTGAAACAAAATCACTACGTTTCCCCTTGTCTTGCTGAAGTAAATATCCCGTAATTTTTAGTGCAAATACATTAGATCAGTCTAATCCTTTTGTAGAACCTTCCATGGAACCTTTTATGCTTTGAACCCCCTTCCAAAATATGTTAACTATGTTTCTACTTTCAACTTAAAGTGCTCCTAGAAACTCCATCAGTATTTCCTACAGAAATGGAGTAGTCCATGAAAAACACCAGTAAATGTCCAAGTCATGTCTACAACTGGAGGGAAAAAAGGAAGTTTTTATGCGCTAAAAATACAAAATCTAGCACATTGGGTTAGACCATGGCCTATTTTGCCCCGTTGTCTGTGTGTGACAGTAGTCCATACCAGAGCTTTTGGGAGGAAGTACAGAACAGGGCAACTAGGAGTGGATCATTCCATCTCTTCCACTCGTGGCTTCTGGTCATCAGAAGTTTAGCACCATCCCAAAACATGAGGTAGTTTCCCTGTCCATTTTGGTTAGATTTTTTTTCTTGAGTGATAAGAACATAAGAATGGCCATACTGGGTTAGACCAAATATCCATCTAGTCCAGCATTCTGTCTTCTGACGGTGGCCAATGCCATGTGCTCCAGAGGGACTTAGAACAGATAATCATCAAGGGATCCATTCCTATCACTTATTCCCTGTCCTAGCAAATAGAGGTTACGGACATCATCCCTTCCCATCCTGGCTAAAAGCCATTGATGGGCCTATCCTACATGAATTTATCTAATTGAAGTCCTGGTCTTCACAACATTCTCTGGCAAGGAGTTCCACAGGTTGACTGTGCATTGTGTGAAGACATACTTCCTTTTGTTTATTTAAAACCTGGTACCCTTTAATTTCATTTGGTGACCCTTAGTCCTTGTGTTATGGGAAGGAGTAAATAACTTCTTGATTCATTATTTCCACACCAATCGTGATTTTGTACATCTTTATCATGTTGTCCCTTAGTCATCTCTTTTCCAAGCTGAAAAGTTCTCGTATATCCTCCTATGATAGCCATTCCATATCCCTAATCATTTTTCCCTCTTTTCTGAACCTTGTCCAATTCCAATATATCTTTTTTGAGATGAAGCAACCACATCTGCACACAGTATTTAAGATGTGGGCATACCATGGATTTATTTAGAGGCAATGTTATTTTCCTTCTTAAATACCTCTTTCATGATGATTTCCAACATTCATTTCACTTTTTGGTTGCTGCTGTGCATTGAGAGGACTATCGACAATGACTCCAAGATCTCTCTCTTGAGTGAAAATAGCTACAGTAAACTTCCGATAATCTGGCACCTTTAGAACCCAGGGGGTGCCGGATTATCAAATATGCAGGACTATTGGAAGGGGGGGGCTATGAGGGATCTGGGGTGGAGTGGGGGTGATGTGCCCCTCGGCACTGCGAGAGCAACCCGGCAGCACCCCAGCTGCTCTGCCCCAGGTGTCCCCAAGTCAGCCGCTGCTGAAACTGACCAGCCCAGGGCAGAGCAGCTCCAATTGTCCGGCTTGCCGGAGCACTTCCGTGTTCCAGATGGTGCCGGACCATCAGGAGTGCCGGACCATTGGATGCCGGACCACTGGAGTTTTACTGTAATTTAGACCCCATCATTATGGACATATAGTTGGGATTTTTTTTCCAATATGCATTACTTTGCACTTATCGACACTGAATTTTGTATGCCATTTTGTTGCACAGTCACCATTTTTGTGAGATCCTTCTGTAGTTTAGTCAGCTCTGTTTAAGCTTGAAAGCTTTCTCTCCACCAACAGCAGTTGGTTCAATGAAAGATATTACCTTACCCACTTTGTCTCTCTCACATCCTAGAACTGACATAGCTACAACACCACTGCTTATTGTTTTTATATGGCCTGTGGGATAGCAAGTCTACAAAATCTGTGCATGCAGAAGCCCTGGAATAGCTAACTCAAGAAAAAATATGATTTTATCCTCCATTGTGATTGTCAGAGCACT